CCCCCCCCCCCCCGCCCCAATGACCTCTAACTTGAGGAAATGCTTTATTTGTTTCACATACCTTGTCTCTTCTATCCATAACTCTTCCATATAAGAAAATTCATAGCCATTCTGTTTGGGACATCTTGACATTTAGGTCTCCTAGCCAACACAAGGAAAGCATGGAGAAGAGTAGCCTCTTGGCTGTTTCTAGGGGAATTTACTTTAGAAGAGGCCTGATTTAAACAAAGTACTCAACACGTGCAAGAACTGTGTCAACATGTATTTAGCATACACTGACCTGCTTACTGTTCTAATTGTATAGTCCATGGGGAGTTTTGTGCTGATGTCCCGAAGGCTGTGGCTCCCTGACAGGCCAGCCAGTTTCAAGGGATAAACGTGGACCATCTTCTCTTGTGTGACTTACAGTCTCTGAAAGCTTGCCGACAGGCCAGTGTGAGTCGATTCAGACTTGAGGGCAATGAGATATTTTTTAATTGCTCTATGAGGAGTGGTTGTGTCAAGCTATGATTTCAGTAACAGCAGCACTTGTCTTCCGTTCACTGTTGTGTTTCCAGTAAATAGAATAATTACTCAGATGTTTAGTTTTGAATGAATACATGAATGAATGAATCAGTGTAGCTTTTGAACACATGATCATTTAGTTATAAGACTAACTCAGACATTCTGCTTTTTAAATTTTTTTTCTCCTTTTTTTCTTCTTTTAGGCAGAAACCACTAATACTAGCCTCTTGCAGGTGCAACTGGAATGCAGTTTACATAATAAAGTGTGTCAACAATTAAAGGTAAAATAATTTGAGTGCCTCTGCCTTTGTTGCCTTCTTAATGTGAAAATCAGAACATTGTTTCCTTAGGAATACACATTCCTTTTCCTTTGGTGCTTTTCTGTTTCTAAAAACAGAAGCCATAAAGTAGAGCTGATTTTTAAAATGTCTTTTTTGTAATTATTACTATTGATTTTAATGAAAATTTACAGACACTTTGGATTTCCATTCATTCATTGTTGCACTTTTCTCCCTGCCCATCCATCCCCTCCAGTTCATTCTTCTCTTTGAAAAGTAAAAGAAAAATTTTTTCCTTGTTATACGTTCCCTCCCCCAAAGTCCACTCTACTATGTAGCCTTCATTCTGGACTCATGTCATGACAATAATACTTAATCATATATACCTTTTTAAAATTTTTATTTTGCCTTCTTTTCTCCTCCCTTGATTCTTAGAGTTGTTATCTGGAATCGGATGATGTTTTACGGCTACAAATGAGTATAATTGTATCAAAAGACAGCTCCTCAAAAGAATTTGAAGAGAATACACAAGATTTGTTAGATCATCTCTCTATAGTTTGTGTAGCTACAGATAAATCTGAAACCTCAGGTAAGGTGGAATATTTTGAAATTGTCTTTATAATCTATATTTTTCAAGCTACCTCATCAAGTTATATGACACGTACTTGTAGGCTGTGTTAAACTATGAGAAAAGGCTTTGCTTTCAGTATTTGGACACTGTAAGAGGAGCTGGTTCTCACCTTCAGCTGTTAAGAAGGCTGCATTACTTTGAGAGGCAAGTGCAAATTATTCTGAGTTTAGTTGGGGATAAATTTTCTTCAGTTTTTGGACGTAGTAAACTCAGACTCATTGGCGTTGAATTGAAATAGACTCCGTTCATTCTGTAGCAGGATACAGGAGGGGCGACACGGGTAGGGGGGATTGCCCACCTTTCTGATTTTAGAGCTGCTATAAGTCAAACTCCAGAGAGGTATAACCTCTGGATTAATGGCACAGCTCCCTACAAATGGTGCCACCAGAACCCCTAAGGTGTGGAGCTCTTTACAGGGGCTATGGTGGCACAATGTTAGGTGCTTGACTGCTCACCAAAAAATGCTGCTGGCCTGAACCCTTTAGTAGCTTTGTGGGATCTGTTACTTTAAAGATTACAGCCTGCGAAACCCTGTGGGTCAGTTCTACTTTGTCATTTAAGGTCAGTGACACTCAAGACATAGAAACTCAATGCCATAGAGCAACAGCACACAAATCAAAAAGACATGACAGCCCCAAATATATATTAACAAAATCATTCAAGTTTTTACGTCTTCACTAAGGAGCCCTTGTGTTCAATGTGTCCCTCCTTCCTGAACGGTTAGCACTTTGAACTCTACAGGATGAAGACCTGGCTAGCAGTTCCGCCGTCTGATAGGGTTACGTTGAGTCAAATTGACTCGAGAGCACAGGGAGAGTCTCTTGGTTGTAATTGTTGGACCCACAGGAGACCAAGTCATGCCATTTTGTATTTTCAATTAGGTGTTGATTGTGCCTGACAGTAGTATTAACTTTAATGCTCTTTTCTAGGATTTTTATATTTTAAAATGTGTTTCCTGATTATCACAAATAACCTTGAACTTTCTGAGAAATTTCTTAGGAGTCACATAATCCATAATATAGGACTTGCTGTTAATCATTGTATATCCAGATAAGTGGTATGTGAATGTGTGTTGTTGTTATGTGCCTTCAAGTTACCTGTAACTCCTAGCAACCCTGTGTACAACAGCCCTAAACCCTGCTCTATTCTGTACCAGTCTTATTATCTCTGACACACTACCCTCATTACCCTACTCAGTGAATCAATCCATCTCACCGAGGTCTTCCTCTCTTGTGCTGTCCCTCCACCTTCCCAAGTGTGATGTCCCTCTCCAAGGACTGGTCCTGCTTTGCATCATATCCAGAGTATTTCAGATGAAGCTTCAGAATCCATGCCTCCAAGAATGTATGTGTGTATGGATGTATATTTGAATTCAGAGGAAGAAATGATATCAAAAGTACAGGTTTAAGCCCACAGTGTTAATGGTCAGTCAGTCCCTCAGACTTGGGTATTTTGGGCATGGAATTCTCTGGTGGCATAGTCCATAGGTCACTACTGACCCAAAGGTGGTGCATCTGGTGATTCGAATCCACTAGCCATTCCTTGGAGAGGGGCTAACAGTCTCCTTCTGTGTGGTTTATAATCTCTGAAAACTCACTGAGGTCCGCTATGAGTTGGTTCAGCCTAGACAGTAGTGAGGTTGAGCGAATGAGTCATGGGTTCAGTGGGATAGTTTACCCATTGTTCTCAGGTGTGTGCTTTATGGTAGTTTTCTAATAGCCAGGTAGAGGTGATAATGTAGGAAGGGTCTTGTCCCATTTTTTGACATTTTTGTTGTAGGTTAAAAGGAAGATTATATTTTCATATCTGAATTAGGAAGTGGGGGCCTGACTGATCAACCAACAGGAATATAATTGCCTTATTTGGAGGTATCCAATTGGTTAGGTTTATTCAGAGGAAAAAGTATGATGCTCTGAATGCCTCTACTGATGGTTTTCATCATTTAAATAGCCTACCTTGACATTGAATGTACCCTGGACTGCCAAGAAAACAAACAGATTCATCCTGGAGAGGGTTAAACCGGGCTGCTCCTTGGAGGCAAGGATTCTGGGGCTTTGTCTGACATACTTTGGACATGTTATAAGGAGAGACAGGTCTTTGGAGAGGGACATCATGCTGGGTAGAGTAGAGGGACAGCGCAGGAGGGGAAGACCCTCTATGAGGTGGATTGATTCAGTGACTGGGGTAATTGGGATGGGTGTGTCAGAGGCAGTGCGATTGGCAGCAGGGTTTAGGGCTGTTGTACATAGGGTGCTATGAGTTGTAAACGACTCGAAGGCACATAACAACAACAACAACCACCTTGACATTTTTTGCTGAATGGCACATATCAACAGCCTTGACATTTCAGGTTTTTTAATAAGGATATTGTTTTGTCTTTTGGTTTTTAAAAAAGCAGTAATTAATCCAGAACAGCTCCTATAGTTTCATATTCATTGTTGAATAAAATAAGTTATTAAAGTAGAAATCTGTAGTGTGACATTTTAATTACTTCATTAAGAGGTGAGAATGAGAGATCTCTTTGTTTTAATGCAATTGCTCTGGTTCTTTTCGACAGATGATTCTGCAATTAATATGTACATATTACATTCAGGAAACAGCCTTATATGGATACAGGTAATTGCAAATATTGACATAAAATAAATTTTAAAATTATTATGTATGCACTGAATTGAATGTGAAGATTTTTTTCAGTAACACTTGAATTTATTTTCTTTTGCTTTAATCTGATTTTCTCTTCTTTGAACTTGTATGTGGATGAAGATTGTCAGTTTCCTCTTTATACTGTTAAGAGTCATCAGTTGTGCCTTTGACTATGTGTTTTGGTCAATAGTGCTTGGTTATTTTGTCTATATTGGATAAATGTTTTTACAGGTGACAGAAATAATGTAGGCACTTTTTGTTATAGGATGTACATCATTTCTCACCGAGAGATGCTCTGTCTCTGAAGTTTGAACCAGTATTGCTGCCTATGTCTACCACAAACTTTACAAAAATTGCCTCTTTTACTTGCAAAGGTATGTATTTAAAGAATACTTGAAATTGACCTTTTATTTTTGCTCCCTACTTGTTATGACTAGGGAGGATAGAAGGAAAATTGATGCCTTTGAGCTGTGGTGCTGGAGAAAAGTATTGAGGGTACTATGGAATGCTAGGAAAACGAACAGATTCATCCTGGAGAGTTTTAAACCAGGCTGCCCCTTGGAGACAAGGACTCTGAAGCTTCGTCTCACATTTGGACATGTTGTAAGGAGGGACCAGTCCTTGGAGAGAGACTTCATGCTTGGGAGGGTGGAGGGATGGCGCAGGAAGGGAAGAACCTCTATGAAGAGGATTGATCCAGTGACTGGGGTAATTGGGATGGGAGTGTCAGAGACAGTGCGATTGGCACAGGACAAAGCAGAGTTTGGGGCTGTTGTACATAGGGTCGCTATGAGTCGCAAGCAACTCGACGGCACATAACAACAACAACAACTTTTTATGTTGGTATTCCTTCTGTAAAATGACTTACAACTCCTGACTTGACATGGTTTCAAGAAAATGAATTGATTCGGTTTCATAGTTAAAAGTTCTAAATGACAATATATGTACAATTGTGGATACCACCTTTATCGTCTAAAGTTTATTTCTACTAGTAATTGGAAAGGGCACGATATAAACGTGTTTGGGGGAGATGCTACTTTGACAGCTCAAGCAGTTGGTTTCTACACAGATTTATTTGCTTTGTGTGGATTATATGCAGATTGTCTAGTGACTGCAAATTCACTTATATCTTTAGACCCTTACAGTTTAAAAGAGTTTTATGAAGAAATGTAATGCTTCTTCAGCATATGAAAATATATCCACCCTTACTTGTTTTAAAGAGACCAAAATTTTTTAAAAGCAAATGAGGTGCCATTTTGTATTTATTTAAAAGATATTAAAATGACTGATAGCGTTCTCTTTGGGTAGTGATTGAAGTTGAAGAGAAATCTGGATTAAAAATTGATGCAGAAAATTAGCAGTCTTACTCTCAAAAGGGCCCAGTATTTGGAAAAAGACATCAAGCTGGAAAATGTCCGTGTAAGAAAAGACTCTCAAGGAGGTAGATTGATGGAGGACGACACAGGACAGGGCAGAGTTTCAGTCTGTTGTTCATAGGGCCACTGCTAGTTGTAGTTACCCTGTCACCACTTAGCAACAACATGTAAATTTAAAATATATCTTTACTATTTGATTTGTAATACTATTTTTAGAAACTAAGCATACAGATATATACTTAATTAATTAAGACTCGCAAATGTGTTCAAAGATGTACTTAAATCTTTGTTAATAGCAGAGTAGCCCAACTACCTATCTGTATGTGGCAGCCGAATTCTAGTTCATCCACATGGCCATACTCTGTAGCTATTTAAAAAAACAACAACATGTATGTTGGCTATTTGAATATCTTCCTTTGTGAAGATTCTTTCCATGTCTTTTGCTCATTTTGTAATTGGGTTATCAGTCTTTTTCTTGTGGAGGCCCAGGAGATGGTATTGCCAAATGTTTGTTCCCAGTCAGTAGGTTTTCTTTTCATCTTGTTGAAAAAAGTTTTTGATGAACACAGGGATTTACTCTTTATAAGGTCCCATTCATCATTTTTATCCTTCTCAGATTGTACATTTTTCTGGCTGTATTTGACAATCTCTTTCTGTCATAGACGTGGGCTTCTAAGCTTGATCCCAGTTTGTTTTTTATGAATTTTATGGTTTTGGGCTTTACTCCCAAATCTCTTAGCCACCTTGAGGTGATTTTTGTATATGGTATGAGATGTGGATTCTGTTTCAGCTTTCTGTAGGTAGCAGTCCAGTTTTGCCAGTACCATTTGTTGAAGAGATTGTCATTTTCCCATTTGATAGGTTTTATTTTCTTGTTGAATATCAGTTGGCCATAGATAGCTGTGTCCAAATGCTCCAAATCACTGGCAATGAGTTGCTGTCTCACTCCTGTAGTAGTGGCAGAGTTTAACAGGACAGCAAGTAATAAATGTTGGAGAGGATGTGGTGAGTTAGGACCTCTTTTACATTGTTGGTGGGATTGTACAATGGTACAACCACTCTGGAAGGCAATTTGGCGCTTCCTCAAAAAGCTGAACATAGAAATTCCATATGACACAGCTATTCCTTTGCTTGGAATATACCCCAAGAAAATGAGAACTGAGGCTCAAACAGAAACTTGTATACCAGTGTTCTTAGCAGCATTATTCACCATTGCAAGAACATGAAAACAGCCCAGATGTCCAACCACAAATGAATGAATAAATGGAGAAGTTGTGGTATATTCATAAAATGGAATACTATGCCACTCAAGAGCAATTATTTTGTAAGTTATTACCTAACTTGGGAGGGACTGGAGAGCATTATGTGAGTGAACTAACTCAGTACCACAAGGATAAATACTGTATAAAACCATTAATGTAGAATGAGTATGAAGATCCAAGGTGTGTGTGTGTGGAGGGTAGAAATAGAGGGGTCAGGATGAGGGGGGGGAGGGTGTTAATCACAGGGTTGCACAATTCGATGGGTGGATGGGGTGAAGGAAATGGGAACGATCTTTTGTGAAAAACAATATATTCAAGCTTTGTAGATAAATCAGAATAAAATTTAAACAAACAAACAGACAAAAATATATGGGGGCTTCTAAAGCCAGCAGTGAGTTTAGCTTAGGGCTTTTTTTCCAAAGGGTGGTTTACATATACATGGGACACCTGGAAGACTGTTTGAGGTACTGAATTATTTTCCTCTGTCTTTAGATAATTGGGAAACTAAAAGTCAAGGGTAAGAGGCAGACTTTATATTACAGCTTTGGTTAGCATTTGATGGTACTTTACTGTCCTCTTTTGAATGTGCAGCTTTAAAAAAATGAGCTGGGTGTTAGGCTTTGAGTTAAGAATTCAGTACCAGCGATTGTATAATTCTGGACATGATCTAGGAAAGCTTTAGTGTTGTTTTGATAGTCAAACAATGCATTCCCATTTTGTGCTGTTGAACGTTTTACTCAAGCTGCCACATGCTCCTTCCTGCTCCACCCGTTAGAGCTTCATTTAATCCCTTTTGTCATCTCTGGCAAACCTCAAGACTTTCCTCTCCTATGGTGAAGACAGCTATTTATAAAGAAAAAGGCACAAAGTATTGATTGCTAACTTTTCTACCCTCTGTGAAGAAATAAGAGTGTATTTTTTTACCCCTAAGGGTAGGCAGCATGTTTCAAATAATTGACAGCAAGCCAGTAAAGAAGGGATTTTTGAAAAAGCTTTTTATTATTTCTAATTTAGTATTTCAGTGGATACAGGAATGTTAAAAAAATAATAACCAACCAAAATACCAGTTGTAAATATGTATCTTCTTTTTGTTCAGGCTTAAATGAATACAGAGTATATTTGGGTTTCACATTTATCTCTTTCTACCTTAAAACAGCTACATCATGTGATGAGGGAATTAATTATATAGAAGATGTGAAGAAAACAAAAAACACTCCAACACTAAAAGCATGCCTGTCCTCTCCTGTGGTTCCAGGGTAGGTTAAGTCTGTGTTCCCTGAGATCATATGATTTTATCCTTTAGAGATGATTTAAAAATACATTTCTGATGGAAGTTTGCATGAGTCTGTTCTCTCTGGGTGTTCGCCTGCGCACCCCGCCTTTTCCCGCCCCCAGCATTGTTGTGGAGCAGTGAGAGAGCTGTTTAGCTGAATAGGGAAAAGGAAGCGAAATAATTCATGAATTAGGTTCTGGCAGCAGAGTTGTTGAGGCAGCCAGGTGTACAAGCAGAGATGCTCACCTGGTGTGTGTGTCTGCATTGCCCTGTGCACTGCCTGGCCATGCCAGTGGCTTCATTTCTGTCCTCAGCTATTCCACATACGAGCAAGAAGATTGAGTGAAAAGATCAGTAAGCCTGTTTCCACCTTATTGAGGACTATCTTTTTGCAGTTAATAAGTTTATTAGAATGTTCATTGAGTCTGCATGGCACAGTTTAACACTTCATTACGAACCCAAAGGTTGGTGGTTCAAACCCCCCTAGAGGTACCTTGAAATTCAGGTCTGGCAGTCTGCTTACAAAAGGTCATGGCCTTGACCACCTCATGAAGCAGTCCTGTTATGCATACATAGCGTGACCATTGCACCAACAGTTTAACAACAGTACAGTGCAGGCGGTGGCCCTCTCCCAGGACTGACAACATGCTGGTCCTCTGTTCACAGGTATTTTAGAATGGACTCTGCTGCAGCCCAGTTCCACATAGAGACTCAGGAGCCCTCGTCAGGAGTCTGGTCCATGTGGTATCTCAACCATTTTGACCGGAGTATTGTGCTAACGGAAGTGTTTGTTTCCAAGGAGACCAAGCGCATTTTAAAGGTACCGGCAATCTGCTGTTTTTGATCTTTTCTCTTTTTATACTATTTTAAACTTTCTTTATGGCTAGATACTGTACAATCTGTGGTATTTATAAATTCTGACTTTTGTTTATGATGATTTTAAAGCAAATATTTATCTATTAACATATTTGGAATTACATTTAGGATCTTTCTTTGTCATATTTTTAATCTGTTGCTCAAGAGACTTCTCGGGATCAGGATATAGACCTTTTACAGATATTTTCTCTTAATGTAATTCCAAATTCATTTTCATGTGTAAATCCTGCTGAAAAGCTTGTATTTAGAAAAATAAATATAGGTCATGCTAAAATAGTGGGACTTTCCAAAATATTATGTAGAAGAATTACCACCTTTAAATATTTCAAAATTACTTTAATGAAATTTGAAAACAGTACCATATGAAACATTATTTGGTCCTGTTATTCTATAAACTTACCTTTTTCTTTGACCTGGAAAACTTTGAGTTAAAAATACACGTTCTAAAAGTGAAAAGATCTGTAACATCATACTTTATAATGATTATAATAAAAATCAGTGTTAGGAAAAGTAACTTCTTTTGCTTCTTTTCTTTTTAGATTCTGAATTTCACTGGCCCTTTATTTCTACCTCCAGGCTGTTGGAATATATTTTCTTTGAAACTTGCTGTTAAAGACATTGCCATAAATCTATTCACCAATGTATTTTTGACTACAAACATAGGTGCCATTTTTGCAATACCTCTGCAGATTTACTCAGCACCCACCAAGGTATTGTTTACAACACTGTATGTGTTTTCTAATTCTTAATGATTACTGTTTCTTTTTATCTACTTACTTTCTGGTGTTGGGTTTTATTAATGGGATAACTCATGTTTTTTAAGGCTATCTATGAAATTGATGGACCTGTTTTAGATGATAAAGTATTTAGGCATGGAAATTTTCATTTGGAAAGAATTTCTATTTTTCATAAAGTAATTCAAAGTTTTTGAATGAAATAACACATTACAAAGTTGACTCTCATTTATTTTTAATATTTGTAAAATAAGGAATATATGCACACTATTGAAAAACCAGTTGAACCTTTTCTCCATACTTTCAGTGAAATTAGGCTTTAGATATTTTATTTAGACCTGTGTTAAAATTAGTCTTTACTGGTTATATTCTTTCCATATGGGGCCACATAATAAGCCTGGAAAGGTTTCTACTTAAGAAAATTTTTCTAAAATATGTGTAAATAGTTTTAGCTTAGATCTCTTAAACATGTTTCATTTTTTTCCTTAATGTTTATTTCTTTTCATTTAGTTATTATTACCGCTTCTTTTTAATCCAAACTATTATGTATAATGCTAGGTTCTAATTTTTCACTATGAGACCATGCAACCATCTTTATGATTTTTCTCACTTATTAGCCTTGATGTTTCATAGTTAGAAATGTGTCACATTTGGTTATTAGCTTAAGACTCTTAGGAGTTAGGACTTTTAGGGAAAAAAAAAAATCTAAAGTTAATTTTTCCTGTCCATCTTTTGAGCATGTGAGAGAGCTCTTTCAAAATAAAGAGTAACGTAAAGGGGAATGGACTGGGAGGGAGCAAGCAGGTTTCAGATGTGTGTAGAATAAGTAGGAATCAGACATGTGTAGAGCTAGCTGGTCTCTGCTCTCCAGGCCTATAGGAGAGGGGACATTTATGTAAGTGTCTCAACTAACCAGAAGTTACTAGGGGTTTACTGTTTTCAGAGGGTTAGATAGAGTATGACTTAAAACTAAAAATAAAAACAAAACACTAAATGTCCTAAGGCTAATTTGATATTTAATCAGAAGAAACATAGTTTAGTGTTTTCTAAGCCCTGTGGGGTTATTACAGTCCTCCTTCCTATGAGAGACAGTTCATACATCTCTTCTGAGTATAAAGGAAACCAGGGAATCTTTGCTTTGTGGTTGTTTGGCTCCTGGTTAAGGGATGTATAATGAGGTGGAAGCCGGTGTCTGCTTGACATTTTAGTGCATTGGAATTTTTGTGCTTAGTGTTATGTTTTAAGTTATTCATCTATTACTTTTCAATCTAGGAAGGGAGTCTGGGTTTTGAAGTGATAGCACATTGTGGCATGCATTATTTCATGGGAAAGTCAAAAGCAGGTAAGTATTCTACACTTAGGCTTTCTGTAGAACTCTAGTTTTGTGGGGGGAGTAGTGAGGAAAAATTAACATATGTAGAGGGAGTAATTAGTTCTGAAACTGTAACTGCATCATATTCTGTTCTTAGAGAGCATGATCACTAGCTGAATGATTTGAATTGTTAAAAAGTCCTCCAAAAACATCTGAGGTACTAATAAAATAATGTTTCCTTACTCCGTAGTAGCTCATATTTTTCCAAGGGGGGAAAAAAGATGTGCATTATTTAATTGCACGTCATAAGCAGCCTTCTTACCAAGAAAAACTTAAAATCTCTGGTTACTTTTATCAGAATGCTGACTAGAAGTTAGGAGAAAAAAACTAATTTGGAATTGGCATTTGAGTTGAACTGGAGGTCTTCTGTTACAGGAGCATATACATTGTGGGAGGGAGAGGCTAGAAGTTGTGTGACTGAGGGCTATGGGGTTGATAAACTGTTTCTAGGGTCTTCCATTTTTTGATGCATTAAAATATTTTTTAGGGATAATTTCAAAGATCAGGGATTTCTCTTAGAAGATATCCAGTGTTTCTTTCTAATAGGCATTTTAGAAGAGACAAGCAGAATAGAGAAGTGGAGAGTATATGGTGAATAGTAAGCCTCTTTATAAACGTGCCCTGAGTGTAGGCTCAGCCTCTAATTTGTGCCACGTTGGGAACAATTGTTTGTCCAGCAGCCCTTTACACAGTAACCTGAAAGATGCAGATGATGGTTATTAGCATTTACATGGAGATGGTTTTGCATTTTAGATTGAAAATGGTTAAAAATGTCCCAAGTACATTTTTAACTTGTTGCAGACTGTATTCATGAGCCATGTGTCTTTTATGTTGTTACCTTTCCATGATTCAGTTTAGTTTTTCTTTATACATGTTTATTTGATTTGATAAGTCATTTGCCAAAGAGTTGGAGGAAGTTTTAGTATAAAATAGTCAGAGGATAAGGGGTTATTTATTCACTCTATGGTCGTTTCAGTGTGAGTAGTGCTGTAGTCAGCTCTTGGCATTATTCACTAATTGGATTGTATTTTCTGTAAATATGTGTATTAAATCTGATCTGTCTTTTAGAAATCCCTAATTGGCAAAGGAGCCTTTCTCTGGATCAGTCTACCTGGGACATGGATTCAGAACTTGGAAATAAATTGTATGAAAGATGGAAAAAATTAAAAAATGGTGATGTTTGCAAGTAGGTCTTCAACTGTTTTATTCAATCCTGGGGACACATAGCTGCATAGTATTTTATTGCATTTGCAGTATTGAATTTTTAAAATAACTGTTACTGCTCTCTAGCTTTTTATTTTTACAGATATTTTTGGATATATTTATGTTCTTTAATAAACAGTCCATATTTAAAATTTGCCCATTTGACCCCAAAACATCCATTGTAGCTGTTTATTTTTTTTTCTTTTGTTCTTTAAATCAAGACCCATTCAAGGATCATAGTTGTTTTTCCCAAGACTAATTTCTCTGCTTTTATTTATCTTTTATGATATCTTCTGTTTCTTTTAGAGTCCAGACCAGTTGTCTTATAGAATACCCTACACCCTAGATTTTCTGATTATTTTCTCAAATTTATATTCAAGGAAAACAATTTAGTTAAGAATACTAATTACCCAAAGCAAAGGTGAGTCACCTACTCAGTGAATTCTGTAAACGAGCCTTCTTCAATACAAATAAAATCTCAATACTGCCAAAAAAAAATACTAATTACCTAGTCATTTTTTGTATTTATATTTGCATCAGGGAGCTCTGGTGACCTAGTCGGTAGCGTTGTGCTGCCCAACCAGTGACAGGCAGTTTAAATCTAACACTTGGCTTCATGTACATAAGGTGCACAACCTCCTTCTGTATGACAGCCTCTGAAATCCCACTTAAGGATCTGCTATGATAGGTTCTGAATAGATGACTCATAAAAATATCATTGTATCACAAAATACTGGAACCAGCTGCTGTCACATTGATTCCAGTTCACGGTGACTCCATGTGTGCTGAGGGGAACTGTACCACAGGATTCTCAAGGCTCTGATTGTCTTTGAAAGCAGATTGTCAGGGATTATTTTTTTTTTTTTACGGTTCCTCCAGGTTGGTTCAATCAGCTAATATTTGACTAGTAGATGAATGGGTAACTCTTGTACCACCTATGGATTCCACGCCACATCCGAAGGGACACAGATGTCATTTTGTCTAGCTGTTGGCTTTGGTGCGTTCAGTCATTTGGATCACGTGCCTGTAACTGTATCACCCAGGTTCTCCTGATATTCCTGAAGGAATCCCAACAAAGTATGGAAATTATCAAACATTATCTCTAATATCACATGCATACAAGTTCCACTTGAAGATTATCCAAAATAACTGGAGCAGTACATCAGCAGAAAACTGCCAGGTGTGCAGGCTTGGTTTAGAAGAGGCCGTGGCATTAGGGATATTACAGCCAAAGTTAGATGGGTCTTGGCAGAAAGAGAGTACCAGAGGAATGTCTGTGTTTCATTGACTGTGAAAAAACTTTTGACTGTGTGGACCACAACAAATTGTGGTGACATTGAGAAGAATGGGAATCTCATTTTGTGCTCATGTGAAACCTGTACTTGGACTAGAAAGCAGTAGTCTGAACAGAGCAGGGAAACACTGCATGGTTTAGATCAGGAAAGGAATGCATCAAGGTTGCGTCCTGTCTCCATACCTTTTCAATCTATGTGCAGAACAGATCATTGAGGAAGCTGGACTTTATGAGGAGAATGTGGCATCAGGATTGGAGGAAGACTCAACAACCTGCATTACACAGATGACACATCCTTGCTTGCTAAAATTAAGGAGGACCTGAAGCACTTGCTGCAGAAGGTCAAGGACAGTAGTCTTCAATGCGGATTGAGGCTCAACATTAAGAAGATAAAGATTCACACCATTGAGCCAATTGGCAGCTTCATGATAGATGGAGAAAAGATTGAGATTGTTAATAACTTCAGGTTACGTGGTTCCACAATCAACACTTTTGGGACCAGCAGTCAGAAAAATCAAAAGACAGTTTGCACTAGGAAAGTCTGCTGTCAGAGATCTCTAGAGTACTGAAGCGCAGTGATGTCAGTCTGGAGACTAAGGGGCACCTGATACAGGCATTGTCTTTACAATTATTTGCTATGCATCAGATAGCTGGACAATAACTAAGGACAATAGAAGAAGAAATGATGCCTTTGAATTGTGGTGCTGGAGAATAGTGTTTAACAGAACAAACAGGTCAGACCTAGAGAGGATGAAACCAAGCTGCTCCCTGGAGGCTAGGATTTTGACACTCTGCCTCACATATTTTGGGCACGTGACCAAGAGGGACCTGTCCTTGGGGAAGAACATCATGCCTGGAAGGGTGGAGGGACAGTGCAGGAGAGGAAGACCCCAGATGAGATGGATTGACTCAGTGACTGGAGAAGTGAGATTGGGTCTGTTGGAGCCAAGAGATTGTCTCAGAATAAAGCAGGGTTCAGAGCTGTTGTGTGTAAGATTGCTCCGAGTCATAGGTTACTCAATGGCACATAATAACAGCAACAACTATGAAGGGATTTGTTGGGTGAAGATTTGAGATCCTAAAAATGTCCTATTCTCTAAAGTCCAATGATTTTATTTGATGTCTGCGGTGTTGGAGAAGAGTACTAAATGTCCCAGGGGCTGCAAGAAGAACAAATTGATAAGTCTTTTAGAAGTGTAGCCAGAGTGCCTCCTTGGAAGCAAGGATGGAGAAGCTTCAGCTCACATACATTGGACGTGTTTTTAGAAGAGGCTTTTCCTTGGAAACAGACATCATAGTCAGACAGGGAGGGTCACCCTCAGGGAGGAAGACCCTCAGAGAGAAGGCTCAACACCATGACTGTGGCATTGGGCTCAGGTGTGTCAGGGAAGATAAGTATGGCACAGGTAGGATCTGTTCAGATCTGTTGTTCATAAGGTCACTATGAGTTGTTCTCGACTTGCTGACACCTGACAGTAAGAACAGCAATTGATAATCTCATGAGCTATTAGGTTTTTAGATTGGTGGCTGCAAAATGGCAAATTTTTAATAATTTTGTTCATTTTGTATTTATTAGCAAGTGGTCAAATAAATAAGGGCTTCTTTAGCTTTACAGCATCATTGTGGATTCTTTACTAATTGTGCTGTACTTTACCTCTTCACTGTTTTTGTTGCTTAGATGTCTTGAATTTGGTCAGTAGGAATCCCTGTGAGACCAGCTCTTCTGTACTTTGTCATATTCCCACCAGTATTTGAGAGCTTCTTTGTTTACAAGGAAAAAAAAAAGGATATCCCAGTCACATCTTAAACTTTTCTGCCCCAGACCTAAAATGAACTGTTTCCCCCTCAAACTGCCCTCTGTCGTTTCAGTGGTAGTAGGAGTGAGTGATTTTCCCTTCTTTTTAAAAAATGTAATTATTTTTCATAATAATTGTTTTCTTTATCAATTAAAACAGGAGAAACGCTTTAGGAACGACTAGGTTTGCCCACGTGAAGAAATCCAAGGAGCCTGAATCCTTTGCATTCTTTCTGCCCCGGTTGGTGGCAGAGCCTGGCCTCATGTTAAACTTCAGTGCAACTTCCCTGAGGAACAGGGTGGTAAGGATTATGTCTTTTAACCTCTTTGTCATTTGCACCCAACAACACACTGAGATAATTCCATTTCAGGCTACTTTAAAAATACACTTTATGTATACTCCACTCTGCAGCCCTCATTGCGAACTCTTATGATAATCATAATGCCCTAAAATATATTACTTTTAAACTGTTGCGGATGGGGAGGCGCGGGGGGATTGTATACCAATGAAGGAGTTTTTCTTTGGCTTTTCAAGGAGAAGAGCGAACTGGAGGGGAAAGAGTGGGGTGGGCGGGGAGAAAAGTGCAACAATGAATGAATGAACATCCAAAATCTTTCTAAATGTTCATTGAAATTAATTAAAAAAAAAGTAAAATAAAAAAAATACACTTTATGTGACATACTCAATGACCTTCAGCAATTTTAGTAGGTAAACCCGCCCCCCAAAATTCCCCAAGAAACCCCAAAAAGAACTGAAGCATTAAACAGAATGAGACTCTTGATTGTCCGCTATATTCCAAGGTCATTTTATTTGTGAAGTTTATATGCACCTCAGAATCTTAACCCTGAATGCAGTTAAAACATCCTACAACAAACTAGCACTAACTAAACTAACATTGGCTTACAGAACTAAGAGCTTGTTCCCTGATAAGCCTAGAGAGGGCTATCTGTGGCAGCACCAGCATCACTCTCAGCCTCAGCTTGCTGGCTTCCATCCTCAAGGCTGCTGCTCTCCACATGCTGGGGACAGGCTGTGGGAAGCAAGGTGAATGTAGTGAGTGGGTGAGACCAGTATACTTGCTTCTTGGCTCCTTGTCAAGAACCGTGCCATGCCAGATGGCCAGGGCACCAATTGTCAGCAAGTTATTTTCCACTCATGGCCACTCCACACAGCTGTCCCTAATTTTAGGTGTTAATGGGAAGTTTATTTTCTCAAGGAAAGGGAGACCAGGTCAGATCAGTTAATTTCCAAGGGTCTACCACGGCACTACTGGTAGTAAATACTTATATTTGTTTATTTCAGACTTAACAGTTGTTTGAGATAATGTAGGAAATGTAATTCTTTTGACTTATGATATTACTATACCATAATATAGTTACATGTTTCTTTTTTAATTTTTTTTAGTTACATGTTTCTTAAGATAGTTTTTTGTGTGTATGTTTATTCTTAAAATAGGTAAGATATTTCTTAAAATACTGAACTAGTATTTTAGGAGAACTAAATTTAGGAGAACTAGTATTTTCAGGAGAAGTCTTGCAGTCTACTTGATTATTGAGTTGTTGGATATAACAGGCAAAAAAGTTCCTTATTTCTAAAACTTGAATCTTCAAACCCTTAAAGCTCGTGAGTAGATTAGTTGGTTAAGAGGTTATATAAATAAACATAGTAACTCCATTTTCTGTAATTCAAAGACCGGTGGAATCAAGATACTCCCCATGCCATATCTGTGGAAACAAAATGAAAAATGAATAATTTCTTCAAAGTTTCTACCCTAATATATTTTGATACTACTCATTTTTCTTCACTATTTGGTCTTTTTAGAACATGAGGATAAGTCTGCTCTTGTCTGCTTTTTCCTGAGGACTGTCAGTATTTAGTGTTGATGAAGCCTTTTTTGTTACCTAGATATATGAATTTCATTTGGATTCCATCATTAAGATTTTATTAATTTGTTAGAAAGTGAGCTGTATTATCTGTGATCTGAGATTGTAACAGGCTTACCTATGCTTTATCCACCCCTCCTAGTAATGACAGTTTAAATGATCTGAGCTGTCGTTCACAATTCTTCAGATGCTCTATGAGCGTCTTAGGGATGTCCCCAAGAAATTATTTTTTTAAACTTTGTCATTTTGAAATAATTTCAAACTTGTTGTTGTTGTTACGTGTCATCGAGTCACTTGCGACTCATAGTGACCCTATGTACAAGAGCCCTAAATGCCGTTCTATCCTGTGCCAAATTCGCCTTCTCAAACACACTCATTCCCACCACTCAACTCACAGAATCGATCCATCTCATCAAGGGTCTTCCTCTCCTGCGCTGTCCCTCCACTCTCCCAAACATGATGTTCCTCTCCAAGGACCAGTCCCTCCTTGCAATATGCGCAAAGTATGTCAGTCGAAACTTCAGAATCCTTGGCTCCAAGGAGCATTCTGGCTTCACCCTCTCCAGAACAAACCTGTGTGTTCTCCTAGCAGTCCATGCTATATTCAGCACTCTTCTCCAGCACCACAGCTCAAAGGAATCAATTCTCTTTCTGTCATCCCTATTCATGGTCTGACTCTCTGATGCATAGCATGTAATTGCAAAGACTATAGCCTGGATCAGGTGCACCTTAGTCTCCAGCCTGATGTCGTTGCTCTTCAGTACTCTTGAGAGGTCCCTCACAGTTGACTTTCAAACTCAGAGAAAAACAATAACAATTTTTAAAAAGTACTAAGAATCCCCAACCACCCTTTACAAAGATTTAATTCTGAATATTTTACCACATTTGTGTTCTCTTTCTGTTTCTTCCTACACTTTCTTACCTTTTTGTAAGTATCAGTCATTAAACTGTTTTACCTCTGAAGACTTGAGGGGTGTGTAGCATTAACTATAATGCTGTTATCTAATCATAATACAGTACTACCTGTAGTCTATTGATGATTTTCCAAGCATTCCACCAATAAACTTCATAACAGTTTTCATTCTGGCCCATGCTCTCACACTTTGCATTTAGTTGTCAGAGCTTTCTCTTCTCCTTTAATCTTACTTAGCCTTTCTTTGTTTTCACATCACAAACGTCTTTGAAGCATGTAGGCTCTATTTTCTAGATTTCCCTTACATTTGGATAGTGTGATAGTTCCTTGTGATTGGATTCACACTCTGCCTTTTGTGGGGGGAATTCTTGAGGATCGTTGACAGCATCTTTGTCAGGGTTCTGATTTTCTCTCCCTTGTTTCCAGGTGAAGTACTTTGTGGTGAAGAACCCATCCTCGTTGCCTGTCTCTCTGCAGCTCCTGCCTGTCTCCTCGTATCCCAGACCCGAAGCTGCCATGCGCCTCCTGCACAAATGGTAACGCACCCAAGCCCAGGCAGCCTCTCTCCCAGGCAGTCTGGGAAGCACAGTTGAACATGTCACGCAGTATTAGCCCATGTATATGATCTAGAACCTGGCCCTTGTTCTCTTTAATTTGAAGAAAATTACTGGTGTAGTTGATTGTGTAGCCTCTCCAGTTGTTCTGCCACAAGTCCAGTTCCCAATTGAATATTCTTTTGTTTGGTTAAAACCATTTCCCGTGGAGTTAATCCTGAAGCATGTTGATCCTCTATGTGCTGGAGTAGAACTGTACTCCACAGGATACTCCGTGGCTAATTTTTGGAAGCATACCACCAGAGCTTTTTTCTGAGGGCCCTCTGGAGTAGGCTTGAACCTCTGTCCTTTTGGTTTAGTTGCCAGATTCTTAGCCTTTCATGCTACTTAAGAGCTTGATTATTAGGATATCTGTAGTCATCTAGTGATAAGGAGTTGTGCTGCCAATCCAAAGGTTGGTGGTTCAAATCCACCAGCTGCTCTAGGGAGAAGGAGGGACAATCTCCTCCTTTGCTATTTACAACATCGGAAAACCCTCTGGAGAGTCAGCGCTCAGTTGATTCCAACTCTGGTACATAACAACAGTTACTTAGGATATAATTCTGATCTCTAGGCAACAGAAGAAACATGGTTAGTGTGGCACAACCAATAGTAATCGGTGACTAACCTAAAGATTGATGGTTCAAGCCTCTGCTGTGGAAGAAAGCCCTGTGAACTGCTTCCATAAACACAGTCACATGGGGTGGCTAACAGCAACTTATGCGTTGGGTCAGTCTGCTGCTGAAGACCTCTTTAAATTCTGAAGTGCAAGGATGTCAGTTTAAAGACTAAAGTCTGCCTGGCCCAAGCCATGATATTTTAAGTTGCTTTCTATCTATGTGAAAGTTAGGCCAGGAAAAAAGAAGACTGAAGAAGAATTGATAACTTTATATTGTAGTTTAGGTGAAGAATATTTCATATTCTGCCACAAAAATAAACAAATTGATCTCCGAAGAAGTGTAGTCCCAGTCTTCTCAGAGGCAAGGATTGTGTGACTTTGTGTCACACACCTTGGGCATATTGTTAGGAGGGTCCACCCGTGGAAAAGGACATCGTGCTTGGAAAGAAGGAAGGTCAGTGAGAAGAGGAAAACTCCTAATGAGATGGATCAACAGAGTGATCGCTAACAGTAGACAAGGTTGGCAACATGGCAGGGATCATGGGGGGGTGTGGCACAACATCAGGCAGGATTTTAGTGTACAGAATCAGGTCATTATGTGTCAGAATTGATTCCTCACCGTGACAGCCATCAAGCATTGAACAAGATGAGATGATGCTAGCATTAGCTTAAGTATGCTCTATCTTTTTTTATTTTCACACATGTAACTGTTTCTTCCTTTTGGCTTCGAAATATCTACTCTGCCCCTGGTTATCTCATCTTTGCCACTGCTGACCCTTTGGACCAGCTGATTCTTTTTTGGGGGGGTATAAATCATCTTGTCTATTGAAGAGCATTTAGAAGCAACCCTAACCTTGACGTCCTAGAAGCCAGTAGCATCTCTCCAGGCTGTGATAACCCACAGTGTTTCCAGACGTTCAAAGGATGAAGTTATCTTCACTTGAGAATCATTGCTTTTCGCTTCAGTAGCCATGAAATAAAGAGTTAGGGACAAATGCTTTATATTAAAAACTTCTGTCACTATATATTTCTCATTGTTCTGTGCTACAAGAAACATTCATTCAACAGCATTTATTGAGTGGTTGTAATATGCCAAGTGTGGGGCAGGGAAAGCAGTGGGGTGGGATGAATTGTATTCCCATGTGTGACCCTGTATCTGTAGATGACAATGCGTATATTCACCTGTGATTTCTTTATTGTCAAATCAGAGTGTAAATACAACCATTTGTCTTGTTGTTTCCTTTTTTTTCTTTGTAGGTTTGGAACTGATATGCAGATGATTAATTTCACAACGAGTGAATTTCAGCTCACCAAAGCTTGCCCTTACCGGGTAGGATATCCTCTTTAGATCAAATCAAGAGTGCCATCAGACCTCCACAATTTGTGTTTAAAGTGCTTTTACGTCCTTTAAGTACCTTTCTCATTTTTATTTTCTTGGTAGTTTGTGTACAAAGCAGGTGTTTCCAATTAATAGTGCATGAAGAGTCAATGGTCCACTTTTGCCTGTAAATTATTGTAGTTTAGCGATTCAAATTCACATTCTTAAAATAACTTTTAAAATCAGAGCTTTATAGAAAATCTTAATACTTGAGATCCAGAATTTATAATTCTCTTTAGAGTCCCTGGCCTTTCATATTCTTGCTGGGGCCAGTCAAGGTTTAATTTTTATTTAATTTTACAGATCCTCTCTTACTAAACTGGCTTTACATTGTTAACAAGTCACTCAGTATCAGTGATTATACATCTAATCTATGAAAAGTGATTTAAAAGAAAAACAAAACAAAACCAAGAAACCTGAAGCATCTGGCAGTGGTGAGCTCTTGAGCTTGTACGTATGCAAGGAATAGGAATTCATAGGAATAGGAGTACGCACGTCACGAGGGAAGGTGATATTTGATGGTGACTCGGAACCAGTTTCTGGTATTTTGTTCACTCAGTCCCATGGCTAATGGTGTGTTTGTCGGTTTCCAATCCAATCAGATGTGGAGCATCTGTTATAAAAATTTACAGAGATGTATGTACAGACTTACACACGCAGCTTTTTGTGTTGAATCTACCTGCACATATACACACACACAGAGCACAGAGTCTTATCTGTTCTCTTCTTCCACTCTTGCCAGTTGCCATCAAGTCACCTCTGTCTCATAGGGGACCCCAGGAGTGTCCGCATAGAACCCTGCTCCGGACAGTTTTCAGTGCCTGAGTTTTCAGCAGTAGACCTGCCAGGCCTTTTTCTGAAGCTCCTCTGGGTGTACTTCAGTTTCTAGGCTTTTAGTTCCACATTAACGGTTTGCACAAACCCAGGGACTCCTTCTGCTTTATCGTTCCAAAATTAGACTCTTGGTTCTAGGTCAACTTGAATAATAGTGAGATCACAGGTGACCCCTGCTAAGAGTTGGAAGCTTGTAAAGCAAGTGTTTAAGTAGATTTTAACACAGACTGACTTACTGTAGTAGGACCATTGTCAGTAGAGGCTCTGCTCTCTTTTCAGGTGACCTCAGGTTCTGGTAACCTAGTCTGTAGCGAGTTGCACTGCTTACTCAAAGCCTGTGCTGCTTTGACAGTTCACCTCCCCAGTGGTTCCTCTTCTCCTGTGTGGTTTACAGCCTTATAAACCCTTTGGAGATCAGCTGTTAGTTGGTTCCAGCTCGACAGCAAGGAGGCCACAGCTGAGATGAAGAAGCATCGCATCAAGATGTGGTCTTGAGCTGTTCCGTCTCAAGATCCACCTCAGCCTCTTCTTCACCACGCTGTCTCCCAGCACTGTTGAGATGACTTAGGCCAAAATACTGTTTAGTCCTCTGATAGTGAATCAAAAAAGTGTGAAATTCCAACATTACCTCAGTTTCTTTTATATCATTTGCATGAACAATGCAAATCATCTGAAAACAACTGTTTTATTTGTAATCAAAGATTTTCCTCAAGAATATTACACCTTCTTATGATAAGGGAAATTATTGTCATTGTCAATTTATTAAATAAAATATTGTAATATACATACTAAGATTTCACTTGGAATTATTATCCGAGTTTCCTGTGATGTAAAGAAGGGACGTGGGAATTGTGTACTTATGAAGGAATTTTTTTTTCTTTTTTTTTTTAAAAAAATAAAACACAACTGTCTCTAGGTACTTACTTAAATATAGTCCTAGAGTAAAAAAAAATTAATAAAAAAAATACAGTGCTTTTGGTTACTAGCCTGTGGCTCTGGATAGTTAAGTCTTTGAATCCTGGATCTTCCATATTTTAACTTTTCTGAGTCCCATCTTTCTTGTATATAGTGTAAGTAAAGTTTTGAAAATGCTCAGCATTTTACGTGCTTTCTTTATGCTAGTAGCCAACATATATATCTACTTAATAAAAGATATTGATATTAAAATTTTATACCAAAAGCCAGTGTTTTTTCTCCCTAACATGCAGTTATATGTTAGAAAAGCCTAGTCTTGCCTCTCAGAAAGTTTATAATGCTAATCAGAAGGAATCAAATAATTTCTTTTCTCTACATGAGAATTGCTAGCAATGGTTGACTAATAAATTTAAACATTGAAAACATGGGGAATATTACAAGAAAGATCACTGATGTTTCAGTCAATTGTTTATAGTGTCACCAAAACCAAACTCAATGTCATTGAGTTGATTCTTAGTCATTGCAACCCTGAAGGACACAGTAGGACTGTCCGGGGGGTTTGTGAAGCTGTAAGTCTTTATGGAAACAGACTACCTTCTCCCAAGGAGTGCTTGGTGGGTTTGAAACACTGACCTTTCAGTTAGCTGCCCAACTCTTATTAACTCACTGTGCCATCTTTATTAGTGACAAGGAACTAGAAGAAGCAGTTAAATAAGCACTTGAATGTTAAGTTTAGGACACAAGGTTTATTCTTCAAAGTTAGGGATCTTGAAAATAAAAGAACATATGAGTAAATAAATCTCTTTCTTGTTGGGGAGACTATAAAGCAGACAATTTCTAGTTAAATTCAGTGTTAAATTTTGGGGTTTTCTAAATTTTAGGGCCTCTGACCATAGCTCTATCACATTCAAACAAAGGTTGTTTAGTTTATGTTTTAGTAGAAGTTTTATAGTCATGACACCTTTGCGTGAAAGGCTTCTATATTAACCAAACCAGGAAGCGTATCACCTCCTCAGCATCTCTGGTTATCCTGCAGCCTTTGCTGGTCATTCTCAGTGATGCCTTAGGAATATGTGAATATGCAAAATAAAAAGTCCCACAGGATGATTAGGGTGGCCAAGTTTAGATCTGCTTTTTAAAAAAGAATTATGTTTATACTCTTAAGACATGTTAACGTACGGTTAGAGTCTTCCATAGAAGCAAGAGAGGGACCTGGGGAAGGACTTCATGCTTGGTAGAGTTAGCCAAAAAAAAAAGAGGAAACCCCTCAGTGAGTTAGAGCAACACAGTGGCCGCTGTAAGGGACTATGGCAGGTCCTGGTAGCATGACTCCTGTTGTGCAGAGGATTGCTGTGTGTGTTAGGAGCAACAAGACGGCACTTGAATGATGGACTCTTGCTTTACAGGAATTGTTTAATTGTGTGTGTTAACAATTTGCAGGGTGCGCGTTCTGAGGAATCCAGGTTTGGCATCCTCCACTTGCATTTGCAGCCATTAGAGGGGAGAAGGGTCGGTGTAGTTTTCACACCAGTTGACTATGGGAAAGTGACCTCACTCATACTCATCAGGTAGGTGTGCTTTTGTTACAGGTACGGGCTGTTTCTCACTAAGCCGTTTCTTGTTCTCTAAAGAATTCGTAGTACTCTAATAAAATGAAAAAGCACACATGTTCCTGTCCCGTTGGTTCCAGTCCTTGGTGAGCCCATGTGTCACAGTGAAGGACTGCTCAATGGCGTTCTTGGCTGTAATCCCTGTGAAAGCCCATCTTTCTTCTCTGGTACCATTGGGTTGATTCAGACTTCAGTGTTTGTCCTAGTAACTGAGCACATAATCATTTTCACTTACCAGTTCGTCTGGCTAATAAAAGGAAAAAGCCATTTATCTTTTACTTGGTTCCAACTTGGGATGATTCTCCCCTCGGTTTCTGAGGTTGTAAATCTTTGGAGGAGTGGGATGCTTATCTTTCTCCAGTAGAGAGGCTGGTGGATCAAGTTACTGACCTTTTGGTTAACCAGCTGATTAGTAAATCACTGTGTTATCAAGGCTCTTTAGCTAATCTCTCTCATTTCTCATTGCCATCAACTTGCAACAAACTCAGGCCTCCTTCACAGAGTTGCTGGTGGATTTGAACTGCCAAGAGGTGCAGCTTTTGGGTGACCAGTGCAATTCCCTATGAACCACCAGCATAGTTCACTTATGGTGCTGATCACAAGTCAGACTCACTGCTGTCAGGTCAGAACTGACTCATCGCTGACCCTCCAAGGGGGCCTTCAGAGGCTCTAAATCACAGGGCACATTGCCCATCTTTCTCCCTGAGAGCTGCTAGGAGATTTAAACTACCAGCGAGGCACCATGTTTTGATTAGCAGAGCACCTCCCTACAGACTACAGTCTTGAGTGAGTGTTGGTCTTTCCCGATGTGGCCTGTGGCTAATAAGAGAAACCTTCTGTGTCTCATGACTTTAATCTCCTGTGTCTCAGTTTGAATTGATACCACAGAAATTTAATGTTTTATTTTAATCCATTCTTCATTTAAGAACTAGCATTGTATTTGTGCAGAGATAAAACTTTAATGTCATCTCAGGTTAAACTGTTTCTGCCTTAAAAAAAGAAAGTGGATTTTCTCCAGTAGCCAGTTTATTTTGGGTGACTTCCTTACATATGGATATGAAATGGGTTTTTTATCAACAGTCCAGACCTTATGACATGAAGGCTTTTAGGACATGAATGATTGAATAAAGGTTTCAGTTTTTTAGATAGGGATATATCAGTGTATTTTTCATAAATAGAAAAGTAAAAGAATTTTCTCTTCCTATGGTATTTACATGAATGATAACTTGCTTTTAGTCTCCAGTTCGCTTAATTTAAGCCTCATTTCCAGTCCTAGGATTGAAATAAATCCTTGACTTCAGTTAAGTAAGAGCCAAAAGCTAGTCTAAATTACAGTTTTTGTTTTCATTACTGATTTGGTTTAACTGACTTCCATGTTAATAAAACTTGACTAGGGAAGTATATGACTGGTGGACTTGTGTTTTTAATTTTTTAGTTCAGAAGAAACAGTAGAATTTTGGTTTTTAGAATTAAGCCCAACACAGAATTTCTTCTGACCATAATTAGCATGAGGTCCTTAATGCACCCTATAAACAGGTTTTACCAATTTGCCTAAATTTGTTCATGTTTCTCTGTGGCTCTCAGTTTACTTCAGTTTTTTTTCACTCAAATGTCTGATTACCCCTCTCTTGCCTGGTTGTCAAAACAAAGGAGCACTGGCGGCATTCTGGTTAAAATACTTGGCCTGCCAGCAGAAGGGTGGGCCGTTCAAATCCACCAGCTGCTCTGCAGGAGAACCGTGTAGTGGTCTACTTCTGTAAAAATTACTGCTTTGGAAACAAAACATAGGTTTATTTAGAAAAAGCAGGGGAGATGGTTAATGTAATTGATACTATGAAATTATATACCTGCAAAATACTGAATTGACAAATGTGATATTAATGTATATATTTACAGAGATACACACATGAAAAAACCCCACTGAAATACAGAGCTATGTTCTTTGTCTCTGGCTGGAGAGTAATCCTAGCCCATCTTAATGTTGTCAGCTTTTCTGACTCCTCTGTGCCGTTCCAGTGCCTCATACTGGCCCTTATTCTGGGTTGTGGCTAGTGAGGCCACCCTATTTAAATGAATTTTTAAAAAGAAATAAAAAAAAATCATTGCTGACTCTCTCTCTTTTTGTTGAATCAGAGCCGACTGATAGCTAACCCACCACTGGGGCTAACCTACCATTGGGTTTCTGAGGCTGTAAATCACACAGGAAGAGCAGGTCATCTTTTCTTTAGCAAAGCTGCTGGTGGATTTGAACTGCCAGAGAGACAACAATGTATGGGTTAACAGCTCATCTCCCCGAGGAGTAGGCTGCCAGAGTTCCCTGTTGGCTAACTACAAGCACTTTTGTTGGTGTTAAGTGCTGTTGAGTCATAGGGGACTCATAGCGACCCTAAGAATGAAAGACCTGAACACTTGTATAACTTTCATAATTTCTCCAAGTTCGTAGCGTTTCCAGAGGCAAGCTATTTCAGAAGTGGAGCCACTCCTGCTTCCAAGCTTGTTTTAATCGGGAGCTCCCCAAACACTGTCCACCATGGGTAAACATTATTGCATTTGATGCATCAGTGTCACAGTGTTGAGCATCACAGCAACCACGAGTTACCTCTGTACAGCAAATGGACAGACTATACCACTTAGAAGAATGTTTGACCAAACCCAATTAAAACCAGGCCTGAGTGTCACAGATTAAAATCACCAACGTTTGACTTGGTAGCATAATTTTCTATCCACCAGGCACGCAGAGCTCTCTGTAAGTAGAAGTATTTAAATTCAAGTAGATTGGCTGTATTTTGTGACTGTTAATAATGTCTCTTTGTCTGTATCTCCTTCACTTATAGGAATAACCTAACTGTTCTTGACCTGATTGGTGTGGAAGGGTTTGGAGCGAGAGAGTTACTCAAAGTAGGCGGAAGACTTCCTGGTGCGGGGGGTTCACTCCGCTTTAAGGTGCCTGAATCCACGCTGATGGACTGCCGTCGACGTGAGTCCATACACGGGGCCCTCTTATGGGGACAGTGTGGTGCTGGAGTCAAGGACAGAAAGATAGTGTTGGTGCAAGCAATCAAGTCAGACACACATTTGCACATAGTCAGTCTTGTACCCCTTGGATAGAACAATAATCTGAGGTATGTAACTCCAATTGAAATGCTAGATTATAGAGAGGAGGAAAAGATAATTTCTAAAGTGCTAGGATAATGTTAAATGAGAAAGTTGAAGTCATTTTAATTTCATATCAATTACTTAATCATAGAAAATCACACTAATGTGATAGAGGTGACAATGTGCTGACCAGTAGACTTGGTCTAATGGGAGTGTTCCATGTGTCCAGTCCATATTGGTACTGACACAGAACTGACTGCTTAAGTATTTTTATTGTGTTCTGATTGTATAATTAAGCATAAAAAATAGCTATAAATCATACTTTGGGTATATCTTTATTTCTCTTCTCCTACATTTTAGTTAAGAAGTTCCTGTTTTGATTAAATAAATGGAAATTTAAAGAAAGAAATCCTTTTGTTCCTATAAAGTAAATGCTCTTTGTCCCCTCCAGAGCTAAAGGACAGCAAGCAAATCTTATCTATCACAAAGAACTTTAAAGTTGAGAACATTGGACCTCTTCCTGTAACCGTGTCATCTCTGAAAATTAATGGTTATAACTGCCAAGGCTATGGCTTTGAAGTGCTAGATTGTCACCAGTTTTCTCTGGATCCAAACACATCCCGAGACATAAGCATTGTGTAAGTATCGGGCTGCAGATTTGTGGTACATTTAACAATGGACATGAAGGAAAAAACCCTCTTTTTTCTTTGATAAATAATTTTCTCATATTTATTTTATAGATGTCATTTTTTATTGAAGGAAAGCTTATAAATCATATTGGTTTTTCATAGAGTCATTCATAAACACTGATTTGAAAACAACAATTGGCATTAATTAATTAATTAATTAATTAATACAATTAATTACACTTTCCAGTCAGCCTTTTTTTTTTTAATATATTGCTTTTGCCTTCCTCACAATTATCTTTTTATCAATTTTTATTCCCCTCACCCTCTTTTCCCATTCCTGTTATTTCTCCAAGACTGGTTTTTGTCTGTGCATAAGCCTTTCCTAAGCTTTTTAGAATAGTAGTCTTTAACCACCATTGTCTTGTGCAGTATTTCATGAATTTGATAGGCTTTTAATGATGCATATACTCCATTGTGCATGTGTGTCATAGCTTTTTTTTGATCATTCGTTAGTTTATGGACACTTGGCTTCTTTTCACCTCTTTGCTACTGTAAATAATATTGTAAAGTAAACGTGAATGTGTCACTGCTTTTATTTCTTTGGGATATATACCTACTAATGGGATTGTTGGATCAAATGGCATTTCTATTGGCAACTTTCTTAGGACACGACAAACTACTTCTCTAATGGTTGTACCATTTTCCATACCAACAGCAGGTATGCGGGTCCCACATTTTCCATAACTCACCAACATTCGTTGTTTGATTTTAATGTCTTAATAAACACTGCCAACTTTGCTGGGTGAGAGGATTTCTTTTTTTTTAATTTTTATTAATTTTAATAGACATTTACAGAGGCTTTGGATTTCCATTCATTCATTGCCGCACTTTTCTCCCTGCCCACCTCTCCCCACCAGTTCGCTCCCCTGTGAGAGGATTTCTTATAGTTGTTTTGATTTGTATGGTCTCGAAAATCTACTGGGGGTCAATTATAAATTGGTTCTGACTTGACAACAGTGAGGGACTTTTTTTTTAGTTTGATCTTGAGTAATTCTTCATGTGTGTATGACTATCTTCTTTGGTGATGTATCTATTCATATCCTTTGCCCATTTTCTAATAGGATTGTTTGACTTTTTCTGGTTGATATACTGATGTTTTCTGTAAATTGTCAATTGTCAGATGTGTCATTATCAAATACATTTCCCCGTGTGTATGTTTTCTGCTTTCATTTTTTTGCGAAGCCTTGTAATGCACTTAAGAATTTAATATTTAGGAGGTTCCAGTCATCTGTCTTATACTCTATTGATTGTGTTTTCGGTTATATTTGTTAGTCTGTTTATGCCATGCCTTAAGACTTCTGCATTTGCCCCAATGTTTTCTTTGATGATCTTTATAGTTTATAGTTTTATGCCTAAGTCCTTGATCCATCTTGAGTTAGTTTTTATATAATATGGATCTTGTTTCACTTTGTTTCAGTTGATAGCAAATTTTGCCAGTGTCATTTGTTTAAAAGCTGTCTTATCTCTAATTAATAGAATTTATCTCTTTGTCAAAGATCAGTTGTCCGTAGGTGAATTTCTGGGTTGCATTCTGTTCCATTGGTCTGTGTCTTGTCACTATACCAATGCCAAACTGTTTCATTACTGTGGCCATGTAGTAGTTTTTGAGATCAGAAAGTATAATTTCTTCTTCAGCATCACTTTGCTTATTAGGGCCCCTTTCCTTTCTACATGAACTTACTAATTCTTTGTCAGTCTCTTTGAAAAAGGATGATGGGATCTGAGTCAGAATTGCATGTATTTGTAGACTGCTTTTTGCAATATTGCCTTCTTCACAATGTTAAGAGTTCTTGTACATGTTCCTCAGTTTCTTGTAGTAATGTTTTGTAGTTTTCTTTATGTAGTTTGAGAAAATGTCCTTAAATGTATAAATATATAGGAAGACTAAGGAAATTTGCTGTCATTATGATTATTGCATTTTATGCCAAAAATCGAAACAATTAATGTATATAATGATGCATCTTTTGATGTCAGGTTTACCCCCGACTTCACCTCTTCCTGGGTCATTCGGGAACTGACTCTGGTAACTGCTGCAGACCTGGAATTTCACTTCACTCTGAACGTGACCCTCCCTCATCACCTGTTGCCCTTGTGTGCAGATGTAGTGCCAGGACCCAGCTGGGAAGAGTCATTCTGGAGGCTCACGGTGTTCTTTGTCAGGTAAGACGCTGCCCTGACCACTCCTCTCTCACTGAGTCGAGAAGTCTTGGGACAAACTACACTGGAATATAAATTGCTTCTTGCAGTCAAACCATGTGAACTGAGTGGACTTTCTATTAGGTTTACAGCCTTGACATCAGTGATATAGGCAGAACATCTGGTAAACTTTAAAATAATGATGAATCATAAGAGGCTCGTATGAAGTGTATGATTCTGCTAGTAGTGTAGCAGACAGTTGTGTTCCATAAGTGCTCACTGGCAATTAGATGGAAAAGGAAAGTGTTGTTCTTATTATTGTAATACAGTAGTAGTTTGAGATGAAAGAGATTTTATCTTGAAAACATCTGAAAATTAGACCAGAATATCAAACTTGCAAGGAGTACATTCTTAGAGAAATAGTTGCTTTTTCCAAAAGAGGATTGGAAATTACAATGTTCCATATCTTCAGATGCTTCTCTTCAGTCATGTCTACTTTTCTGTGATGACATTAGTCTTTCTGATGCCAGTCAGAACCACCCAGTAATGAACCTTGTTGCTTGCTTCCACAGTCTGTCCCTGTTAGGTGTCATTTTAATAGCCTTCCAACAAGCACAGTACATTCTTGTGGAATTCATGAAAACAAGACAGAGACAGAATTCTAACTCATCTTCTCAGCAAAACAACAGTCCGATGGATGTAATCAACCCTCATTCCCACAAGTAAGGGTTTGTTTAGTATATTTTGCTCCCCATTTGAATTTTGAAATTTTTAAGGTAGTATTAATTTTTATTTTCTCATTCATTTCCAACAGATTTTCTTTTCAGCTGTTTACTGTGTTGACAGCTGTACCTTTTCTTATTTGCCCTTAAAGATGTAGTTTATTGATATCCTCGTTAATAAAAAACCCTCTTGAAGAAGAAGGGACATTTTAGTCCTCAGTACATGTAATAACAATTTCCTACCTCTTTTTATTGGTTTTAGAAACAGAATTGTATTTGCTCTGTTGCTATGTTAAACGTTTTTCTTCTTAAATTCAGAAACAATTGCAAGAACTTTCTCGACGCCTATGGCCCCTCTGATAAAGGCAGGGGGAGAAGCTGTCTTCCAGTGAACACTCCTCAGAGCAGGGTTCAGAACGCAGCAAAGAGGAGTCCAGCTACCTATGGGCACTCTCAGAAGAAGCATAAGTGCTCAGTGTACTACAGCAAACACAAAACCAGCTCGTCGCTCACCAGCAGTGCCAGCACGACTACTGAGGAGAAACAGACTTCGCCCCTGGGCAGCTCCTTGTCTGTGCCCAAAGAGGACACGTGTACTGACATTGTGAGTGAGAACTGGATAAACCTCAAATACGCAAGTGGCATAAATGTCAACCTGCAAAAGAATTTAGCCCTTCCCAAAAACTTACTGAACAAAGAAGAAAACACACTGAAAAACACAGTTGTCAATAATGCTTCTTCAGAATGTAATCTGAAGGAGGGAATACAGACATGTATGTTTCCTAAGGAAACTGACATTAAAACTTCAGAAACTGTATCAGAGCTCAAGGAACGCGAGCTCTGTCCTCTGAAGACCTCGAAGAAACTACCTGAAAACCATTTGCCAAGAAATTCACCTCAGTACCAGTCAGACTTGCCAGAAATTTCCAGGAAAAACCATGGTAATCTATGCCTTCTCCTTGGCGATTCTCCTTGCTTGCTTGTTCCCATCTTGTTTTTAAATGGGATTTGTTCTCTCCTCGTGGCTGGTGATTGTAATTGTGGATACTGAATGTTTTCGTTTATGCAGGAGGCTTTCACAAAAGTATAGATGTTGAAATAAGGTTTGTAGTGTGGAGTATAAGGCGAAGCTCAAGCTTTTATAATATCGTAGATGTTTAACTGTAGTTTAGTGTATACATTTAGAAGAATGCAACGATCTTCTTACTGGGACAATAATAGGTATTTTTGTGTTTTGGGTTTTGTTTTTTTGGTTTTTTTTTTCCCCTTTCTTTTAGCTTTACAGACTGTTTGCCAGAATTAATCAGCCCATAAAATGACTCTGAACAAAGCTGCTCCAACTTGATTTAACAGATGTCACCACCTCCTGTTGCTTGGCCCTGCTTCTTCTGCTAATTTTGTCCCTTGGTTAAAGAAAAACAGGTGTTCTCTTATAATGAAAATTCGTCCAGAGCTAGACTAGGACAGTGATCCACAAGCAAGATTTTCATTAGGCCTAAACCATTCTTTCTGGCAGAAAGGTCTTGTGCTAACTTTTCTGTCCATCCCATCTATCTAGATCTTTGTTTCTGTATCTGATCAAGTCAGGTTTTTGAGATCTTGCTCTGTAGAAAAATCCATTGCTCTTCAGCATGTTGGAAACACCTACATATAAATAACTTCCTGTTTTTCATGCCTTTATATGGTAGAAAGGATACAAAATTGCCATTGTGATTTTTGCCAGATACAGAATTTTCATTGCTTCTAATGAGTTTCTATGCATTTAGTAAAAACCCAAACTAAACCAAGTGTTCCATAAAAGGACTTTCCCAGTGTAAGAGGCAGTGGACTCCCCTGGAACGTCTGCCCTGTCTGCACTGTTTCCTTTGGCAGCAGTGGACACATGTCTGCAGTTTTGACACTGTACACTTGTGTCTTCTCCAACTGCCATATAAGTATGCCCTTCTAGGGTAATGCAGTTCCGTCAGATCATCACCTAAACACAGTGCACGTTGTCTGTGGGTATTTTACGGTGGGGTGGTTGAGTACTTGTTGTTCTGTTTCCTTCCTGAACATCCTTTATGACTCATTTACGGAAAAATTTATGGAAGGGTGAAAAAAGTAGCAAATGCTACTGGTTTTTTTTCATTTTCTGTGACAGGCTGAGCACTTTGTTTGAGAAAAGGCTATACAATGAAAGCTGTCTGAAGGGATCATCTCTCTAGAATTGCTTATTATACAGTCATTTCTGTCCATCAGATACCGAAATAAATGTTCCTGAGCAAATAGCAGCACCATGGGTAGATGGGAGGTGTGGTCTGCCACATCCTGTTTTGAATGATTGAACTATGGCGGCATGGATCAGAAAGGTGGGGCCAGAGTGGGTCAGATTATTCCAATTTGTGCTTCCACTCTTGTTCACTTTTTTAATTACTTGTGATTCCTTGCCCACCTATGTTCACTCCTGTGCCATCTCCACGATTGACCTGGCCAGTACTTTTTTAACATTTATTGGAGAGTTCTGGTGGCCTAGTGACTAGATGCTATGCTGCAATCCCAAAGGCACATGATTCAAGGCTACCAGCTGCCCCATGGAAGAAGGACGGGCAATATTTATTGCCAATAGTTGAATCAAGAGTACCTCATAATAACTCTTCCGCTAGTGTTGTTAATAGAGGAGTACAAAACATGGAGTTAGTCTCTGCTGTGAGCTCTGATAGCCCCGTGGTTAAGTTGTGCTGTCAACCCTACTACATGCAGTTCAAATCTACCAGCTGCTCCATGGGAGAAAAATGGGCAGTCTCCTCGCTGGAGGGTCAGCTATGAGTTCGTTCTGACTAGACAGCCCTTAACAGCAGCTTTATTGTAGATGATAAACCTGCCCAGGATCTTTCCTTCCTGTGTACACTCCTAATTCGGTTGTGAGAATTTAAAAAGAAACAAAGACTTGCTCATAAGGATTGTCCATTGTGGGGTGTTTTTTGGTTTTTTTGTTTGTTTGTTTTGTTTTTAATTTTGGAGTTGATTTTGGTTTTCACTAACTTTTGGCTGGATCTGTGGTATAAGAGGACTGTGAGGATCTGTCATCAGTGAAAGAACTGTGGCTTTTTCTCATTTCTCCCCATTTTCTGGCCAGCACTTTGAAAGGTGCTAATTCACACACTATAGATACCACAGAGCACTCCATTCATTGATCTGTACTTTCTCCTGACTGTTTTATGTTCATAGAACTGTTACAGGAAAACACAGTGTTTAAAAGTTCTTTAAGGGGAAAGTGCCTGGCATTTGTTTGTAATTTAAAATTTTTTATAATTAAAGATTTTGAAAATGAATGTGATAGAAATAATAGAAGGTCTGAGAAATCCAGGAGGAGGAGCTTGTAGTTTGAAGGTATGATGTGAATTTGAAGTTCTTTTGTCAGAGTTCAAAAGAAACTGTAGCCTTCAAATTGACCAATGGTAAATGGGTGCTATCAGCACTGATCCTAACATGTAAAAATGCCCAAGAGTGGAGAACTGGGTGCAGGGGCTGTCCAAGTTAACACTTCCAACTTTGAGCAATAGTTCTTTTTTATTTTAAAAAGTGTTTTGTTTGAGGAGGTGTGTGTGTGTGTGTGTGATAGGTTTGTTGTTTCAGTTTTGAAGTCTCTTCTAGAACTTGAAGAAAAGGCTTCAGCCTTGGCCACTGAATGTATGTATATATGTATGTTATTTCCAAGTAGTGTGCTTGCTACATTTTGTTTGCAGCTTCTCCAGGAACATACTTAATGTTATTTGCAAACAAGTCCCATGATAAGATTGCCTTTAGGAAGGGAGGAACAGGGAAACATTGCCTTCTTCTTAGAGTGCCTGGATCCATTAGCCCTATCAGAGGCTCTCCTTGGCCTGGGGCAGCCCCATTGTTGAGCTTCTATTCTGAAGTGTTCTTTCCCTCCATGTAACTAAGCAACAGTTAACTATTAAAAAGTTACTATGTAACAAGCACTGTGGTGAGGAGAAAGCACAAAATTTTCAGAGTAACAATATAAAATGTAACCCATCCCTTTGCTGCTTCTCTGCCCGCCCCCCCCCCCATTCCACATGGCCTTTGGTCAATTTTGCATTAAAATTCCTGATAGAAATGAAGCCTGCTTAAGTGCTCTGTTTTCCTGCATGTGTGTTTTGGCCTCAACCTGCCAAACAGGTATGAAGTATTGAAACCTTTGCAGATGTTTATTCCATGTTCCAGAGTCTTGTGGTTATCTGACAGGAGTGCGAAATGTAAATGATCTTTGACAGTATGATATGTCCAGTGGCTCAATCAGAATGACTCAGATTTAGAATCATGACTAAAGGTAGACACTTAACATCAGCTTTCCCAAAGAGGAGTAGTTAGCAGATGATTCCATTGCTTTTTGTGTATAGCAGTATAAATGATAATTATCTTTTTAAATTAATAACACTCTATGCCTCATAATTAAAAATAAGTGACAATGTCCAGTCAATTGGCCAACTCTTGATACTTCTGAAATACTAGTATTTGCAGAAACTTATACATTTTTATTTATTTGTGGGATCCTAACAGTTTTAAGTGAAAGTAGAGCTGCTTACTCACAACATACTATATGATCATGTTTTGTAAAGTTGTGACAGTGTTCTGATGAGGTTTTGTGCTGCTTGGGATTTATTTGCTTTTTAGCTTTATGGAACTAACCTTTCGTTTTTTAAAAAATATTTATTTATAATATTTGAATACATTGTTTTTCAGACCAGATTCTTCCAGTTTCCCTCACTCCCACCCATCAGATTATACAGCCCATTACTAATCCCCTCCCCCTTGTGCACATCCTTATCCCTCTGCTTCTGCCCCCCCTTGGATTCTCATACTCATTCTGCAGTAATGGTTTTACACAATATTTATCCTTGTGGAACTGAGTTAGTTCACTCAGCATAATGCTCTCCAGTCCTTCTCAAGTTAGGTAATAATTTACAAAATCATTGCTCCTGCATGCTGCGTAGTAGTCCATTGTGTGAATATATCATAATTTCTCAATCCATTCTATTGTGGTTGGACATCTAGGCTGTTTCCATGTTCTTTCGATGATGTATAATGCTGCTGTGAACATTGGTGTACAAGTCTCCGTTTGTGCCTCAGTTCTTATTTTCTTAGGGTATTCCACGTAGTTGTGGAAGCAGGGAGCAGCAGCCTGGTTTTACCTTCTTCAGGTCAAACTTGTTTGTTCTCCTAGCAGTCCATGGTATAGTCAATACTTCTTCAGCACCACAGCTCTAAGGCATCAGTTCTCTTTCTATCCCTAGTCATTGTCTAGCTCTTTAACGCATAGCAAGCTTCAAAAAAAATCCAAGATTATACTTAAATTTATGATTTATTTTTATGTTATATATCCTGTCTCCTTTACTTTGGCCTACCTCCTTTACTTGTTCATAGTATTGGGTATATTACTTAATGAATGTCTAATTGCTTTTGATACATGCTAGAAGAAATTAAATGTGAAAAGAATTATTTTTAATCTTGATATGTGAAAGGAAAGTAACAGTCATCCTGTAGGACTGCTGTTTGTGCCTCTAGCTCAAAGGGGATCTGACAGCTGCATCCCAGCCATTCTTGTAACACCAGTAAACCTGGTGCCGTGGAGTCAGTTCTGGCTCGTGTAGACCTCTGGTGTGTGTGAGAAGCACCGTGCCCCATAGGGAGTGCAGTGGCAGATGTTTTGAAAGTATCACATGAGGCATGTCTTTCTCTGGCACCTCTGGTTGGACTTGAATCTTCAATCATTCATTTAGCTGAGTGCTTTAACCACTACACTATTCAGGGACTCTTCATTTAAGCTATCCAGGCATGAGATTGACTATCCTGTGAGGACAAAAATTCCTGAAGACTTCCATTATTGCCATTGGTTCTGTTTCCTTACAGACTTGACCTTCACAAGGTTCATTGACCTCCACAGTCATTTTCAGTTATTAAAGGAAATGCTTCATAAGCATCAGATTTGCCTCTGGATAAGACTTTAGTCATACTAGTCATTAAAACATACCAGTTGGTGGGGGTTTTGGGGGGTTTGTTTGTTTGTTTGTTTTGTTTTTCAGAAACTTTAGCTAGAAGGTTAATTTTCTAGTTCTATCTTACTGTGATAATTGGACAACCTAATCTCAAATTGGACAATCTAATCTTAAATTAATTTTGAGATAGAACCTTTGTGGTTAAGCCCTAAAACCTTGTAATAAATTGAAAGGTGTATGTTATTTGCTTGCTGACTATTTTTATAGTTTAATAATATTTATGTAATTTTCTGAAAATAGATTTATTTTTTAAAAATTCTATGTTGCTATGAGTTTAATATGTCAGTCATCGATGTCCAGTTGGTACCAACTCTTCCAAACTGCAGGTTTCTGAAGCTGAAAATCTCATGGGAGAAGATTGCACATCTTTCTCCTTGAGTCACTAGTGGATTTGAACTTCCAGAGAAATGCTGCTTTTGAGTTAACCATGAACAGTGCCACCAGAACTCTTTAATTTGTAGCTTCAGAGGTTAAATTCAGGAGAAAATTTATTGTCCATTTCATTTTGGGAGAGACTTGCGGTGCCCAGGGCGGTGTGAGAACCTCAGGTTTAATTCTGCTGGTGTCTGCTGGGGTGTTGATCCCATCAGAGCACACAGCCAGCTTTCCAGTGAAGTGTTTGCACTGTGGTAATATAAATGCTCTCAGATTTCAAAGATACTGTTAGGGAGTTTTGGTTAAAGAAAAATGAAAAAGATACTGAAATACTTCTGTTTTGAATTAAAACCCTTGGGCCAGTTATTTTGGGGTTGAAGTTGATTTGATTTTATTGTGATGTAAGGAATAGAAAAAGAAATACACTTATGAATAAAATCACTTTTAAAGAAAATGGAAAACATGTTTTCAGATGAGGCTCCTTACCAAATCTACTTTTGCAAGTGATTCATTTACCATTTGTTCTCCCAAAGGCAGGCATTGCTCTGTGGAGGTACTTACTATCTGGGAATTCCTGTGTCTTTTGGTGATACTGTTTGAACGTCTACGTCAGTTCTGTGATAGTCTGATGAAGCATTCAGCGGTGGTGGTGTCTGTGTCTTCATTTTATAAACAAGGAGACTTGATTTGAGTAGCTTTAAAAACTTACTTTGATCATAAAACTAATTAGTGACTACCAAAGGCCAATTCTTCAACAACCTTCCCTTTTCCTTTTTGAAGGGTTACTTGTAGAACTCATTTAACTGCATTTTCATATGTAAACAATACATCTTTAAGACATAACAGAGGTCAAAAACAATCCTTAAGTTTAAATCTCATTCAAACAAAGTGTTACTTAGTTGATGTAGCCAGCCAGAAGATTTATCTGTGGGCATTAAGAGTGGAAAAAATTAGCCAGAAATTGAATTGTCTTTCTTTATTCAAGGGAGTAGCCAGCAAGTGCCTGTTAAGAATGAAGCAGACAGTTGTGAAACTTTGAAAAGGCAGAGTGACACAAAGTCTTCCTCAGAGAAGAAGAATCACAAAGCATCTAAAGAAGACATTTGTCCTGAGAAACAGGATGTGCCTTCATCAGAGGTCTGTATTCATTTTGTTTCTTGCATGTTAACAAGTATAAAACCCCCTCTAGAGTACAAATATCTATGGAATAGTAACTTATGTGTGTATATGTTACAGTTTTCAGAGAGACTGGTTATCATGCATTTGAATTAATGCATTCAGAAAAAGTTGTATTTCTTTGCAAACCGCTTAAGAGACACTTAATATTTTTAGTGAAACCAGATGGGTTTTTACTCTTAAGAAGTGTTGTTCTTAAACAGATATGTTAACTGGTAGATAAAGATGGAAGAGGAGGGCCAGATCGTGTAGACTTTCTCTCTAGTTGACATCCAGCCTGCTTTGGGGGTCTTATACTTTTGGTGAGTTTGAAGATTAATCTAAACTCGACGAGCTAGGGATGTGTTTCCAGCTGGGGTGAGTAGTTCAGGCATCCCTCAGGGATGCTGCTGGTTCCATTCCAGACCACTGCCATAAAGTGAATGTCACAATAAAGCAAGTCACACAACTCTTAGTTTCCTAGTGCATATAAGTTATGTTTGTACTATACTGTAGTCTAATAAGTCAGTTGCATTAGAGAATATTGTAAGAATTACCAAAATGTGATATCAGAAGTAAGCAAATGCTGCTGGAAAAATTTCATCAGGGGCTTGCCAGTGCAGGGTTATAACAAGACCTTCAGTTTGTAGAAAATGCAGTATCTGTGAAGTACAATAAACAAGGTAAACCTGTGAAGGCATTTTGATAGACTATGGCAGGAGAGGTCCGGATCCAGGATTTCCAGTAGAAGTTGCCCTCTGCTCTGACCAGCTCCTCCCCTTAGCACCAGTGCCCTAAGGTTGCATTTAGGAAACAAATCCTAGCCCTGAAGCTATTCCTCAGAGAGAAACAGAGGTCCAAGATGAGTACGAAAGTCACTCGGGAGAACTGATCTACCTTATTCTTTTTTCACCCTGGTTAATGTGGAGCTGTTTGTATTAGCAGAAGCACAGTGACAAAATAATATTATAGTATTTACACCCATGCAAATGCACTGTAGTAAAAATGAACAAAATAGTTTATGCAAAAAGACAGATGAAGATTCCAGAAGAAGAAATACTATCTAAGACCCTGAGAAAATTCTAGGACTTCTTCATGCTGTAGACTGTGAATTCAGTAAAACATGATTTTACAAAGGCAAATTAATACACTATGATGGGGCTTTGAGAAATAGAGCTAGAGGAATAAATGAAGGCCCTAAATGACATAACATACACGTTGTTGTTGTATTGAGTTGACTTGTCCACCACTCATAGTGACCCTCTGAAAAGCAGATGTGAACTTTGCGGGATCCTATACTAGCCTCATCCGCCTAATACATTCAGTCCTTTTGCGACAGTCACTGTGTTGATCCATCTTGTTGAGAATCTTCCTCTCCTTAACTGACTCTTCACCTTTCTAAGCAGATATAATAGCCCAAAGTTGTTGACATAAAAAAAGACTTAAATCTTAGATGATTGTTATATGGTCAAAGACAGACTGACAATGCAGCATACATGTAATGGTTGTCTGGATAAAAGCCCAACAGATAGATAAGAAAAATACTGAGAAATGTCATGGAAGAACATATTCCTGTTAGAAGAACCAAGTTTGCTAGTCAAAAGGATTGTACTGCACACAAGGAAAAACAGCTTTAATATTTTAAACATACCCATCCTCTTTAAAGTACAAAGAACTGTATAACAAAAAGTAGAAAAATAAACACACAAGGTTAACCTTGCTCTAAGACTTATGAACATTTAGTACTAGAAAATAGTGGATCAATATTATTGTTGTTGTTATGTGCCATTGAGGCACCTGCGCTTCATAGCAACCCTATGTATAACAGCTCTGAATCCTGCCCTGAGCCAGTCTCACGGACTCTGACACACCAATCCCTGTTGCCTCAGTTACTGTATGAGTCCATCTCATTCAGGGTCTTTCTCTCCTGCACTGTCCCTCCACCCTTCCAAGCATGATGTCCTTCTTCAAGGACTGGTCCCTGCTGGCCACATGTCCAGAGTATGTGAGGCAGAGCTTAAAAATCCTTGCCTCCAAAGAGGAACTTGGTTTCACTCTCTCCAGGACAGACCTATTTGTTCTCCTGGTATTTCATGGTATGTGCACTACTCTTCTCCAGCACCACAACTCAAAGGCATCAATTCTTCTTCTGTCATCTTTAGTCATTTTCCAGCTCTGTGATGCATTACATGTAACTGCAAAGACCATGGCCTGGATTAGGCGCACCTTAGTCTCTAGACTGACATAATTGCTCCTCAACACTCTAGAGAAATGTCCCTGACAGCAGACTTACTGTCTTTTGATTTCCTGACTGCTGGTGCTAAGAATGTTGATTGTGGAGCTGAGCAAGCTAAAGTTTTAATAACCTCGGTTTCTTCTCTATCATGGTACGGCCAGTTGGCCTCATGGTGAGAATCTTTGTCTTCTTGATGTTGAGCATCAATGCGTATTGAAGACTACAGTCCTTGACCTTCTGCAGCAAATGCTGACAGTTTCTGAACTAGGGTGATTGGAGAGTAATTAACAAATGGATGACACCATAAAGGCTCTGACCTTTTGCAGGTAAGAACAGTCTTTCCAGTTCCATCTCATAAAGGCTGGTGGGACGCCTGTCGTATAGAATCAGTTTAGTTCTTTAGGAAATGACTGAATGAATGTGTCAGTGATGCATGTTTGGAAAATTAATCTTTAGTGTTTTGGAGAGTAGAATGGGCAGGAAGGAATTAGATATACTTGTCTTCTAACAAGGAGGCTGTTCCTGGGCTGTGAGATAGAGTGTAATAAAGTCCTGTATTGGAGAGAGTAAAGGGGTAGGAAGGGAGCCCTGGCGACCTAGTGGTAAGAAGCTGCACTGCAGTCCCAAAGGCCAGCTGCTCCACAGGAAAAGGTGTAGTTTGCTGAGGGTCAGCTATGGGTGGGTTTCATCGCAGCCACACTTAACAGCAGTAAAGGATAGAAGAAAGAGGAGAAATATTTTAGATGAAAAATCAAGATTTCTGAAATTTTGATTGAATAAAGAATAATCATATTTTCTATATTTTGTAGAAAGGCAGTTAGAGAGTTCTCCAGTTTTTTAATTTGTTGAAGCAATGTATAGTTGTTAAGCACTTAGACTTCCTGGGTGTTTTTTTTACTTGTATATTTTCTTTAATGCTCTAACAATTCAGATGCATATATATATATATATATAAATATATAAATATAAATATATACATATATATCTCCCAGGTGGCAATGAATGACTACCACAGACTAGAATGTTTTAAAGACATGATTGGGCCTTTTACACTGACTTCCTGGGTTTGAATCTAGGTCTTTACTTACTAGCTATATACCTTTGGACAGGTTCCTTATTGTGGTCATTTTCTCATCTACAGAATACGGATAGTAATAGTATGCCTCATAGAATTGTGAAGAATAACTTAATAAGTACTTGGAATAGCAGCATTTATTATGATTACTTGTTGTTTTTGTAGTTATGTGCCATTGAGTCGCTTGCGACTCACAGCGACCCTATGTACAACAGCCCTAAACCCTGCTCTATCCTGTGCCAGTCGCACCGTCTCCGACACACCCATCCCCATTACCCCAGTCACTGAATCAGTCCACCTCATAGAGGGCCTTCCCCTCCTGCGCTGTCCCTCCACGCTACCAAGCATGATGTTCCTCTCCAAGGACCGGGGTCCTCCTTACAACATGTCCAGAATATGTTAGACGAAGCCTCAGAATCCTTCCCTCCAAGGAGCCGCCCGGTTTGACCCTTTTCAGGATGAATCTGTTTGTTTTCCTAGCAGTCCATGGTATTTTGAGGACATGCACGCAGTTTTCTCTCCCTGGAGACCAGAATTTCCTTGCTCTGAGGTTCAGCATTTATTTGCTGAATGGTGGGAGGTGAGGAGGCCAGCTCCTTTCTTGGTGCCCATTGAGCAGCTCGAACATGGAGACTGTGACCTCCTCCTCTCCTTTCCTGAACTCTGAGCCTCTGCAGGGCAGACAGTTGCCCTTGGGGTGAATTTGAATCCAAGGAACTTCTGTGCTCAGGCTGCACTTGAGGGTCCAAGATTATCTTGTTGCTAGTCAGGGGCATTTTCAGGCACAGGTTGGGGGGCTCCCATTTGCCCTTGTTTACTGTCTCTGTCACTCATTCCCATTTTGCACAACTGTCCTTTGGCATCCTGTGAGTGTACTTTCCATGGTATCATTAGTTTGAAGTAAATCTTCCTAATAAACACGTTCCCATGTGCAGCACTGTTTGTTTTCCCTGCAGATTCTTCAGACCTCACTTCGCCACTTAGAAAGTGGTATAAATTTGTCTTTAGTGCAAGAGCAACATTCCTCTAGGTTTATTGGCAAGGAAATTTGAAGCCAGGTTTGGAAAACATAGTCTTAAATTTTAATCCTGCTTGTGGTGGTTTTCTCCTAAGCAATTGGTATTTTTTTCTTTGCGAAGTAATACATGATTATTACAAAGTATAAAAGAAGTAGAGAAAAAAGATCTCCAGAATAAACCACTTTTTAGCATTTTGTTGTATATCTTTCTATGCAGAAAACATTTTTATAAACTTGGGGCATTGGAGATATATAGATATAGATAGATATATAGATGTATGTGTGTGTATATATATGTGTATATATATGTGTATATATATGTGTATATATATGTGTATATATATAGCTTTGCTGTTAACACTAAATTTTTACTTGTTAAAAAATTATTGAGGAATTACACATTCAGTAATTATGTAACATTCCACTGTTGCTGCACCATAATTTAAACCAGCCCCTTGCAGTTGAGCATTAAGGCTGCTTCCAGTTTTTTGCTTTATAAAAATGGTGATGAATAGTCTTGTTCTAAAATGTTGCCTGTTGACCTGATTATATCCTTGTTAAAGTTTTCTAGGAATAGAATGAAATTATATAAAATAACGTAAAGTTTCTCATGCCTGTTGCCAAATTGCTTTCCAGAAAAGTGTGGTATATGA